AATAGAACAATTTATCATCTCCAAAGCTCTAACACAAATATAAATATCCATACACTGCCTTCAGTTTATTAGAAAATCAAGTGAGGTCAAACATATCTAACACTGACTTCCAACAATCATTAAGCTGTTGTATCATTTGTGCTAATCACCTCTAGATAGCAAATTTAGGTGCCAGAGTAGATTTACATTTGTTGTCCAGATAACATATTTTTAAAAACTTCTATTTTTTAATATCTTTATTAAAAATAATGAGAATATACTTTTATTATAAATACCTAAGAAACCTTGAAAGTTGCTTGCAAAATACTAATGTAAAAGAACATGAAGCGGCCATCAGATTGAAGTACAATAATTCTCCGTGGTATGATCATACAAATAACAATAATTGTAAAATTAACCATAATAATATAAAAATTTTGCATTTTGAAAAAAATCTTTATAAAAGAAAATTTAAAAAGCATTTAGAAATAAGGAAACAAAAAAATAATTTAATAAATAACTCAGATGGTATGCAAATTGATTACCGCTGGTACAAATTAATAGATGGCGCTAAAACAAGTTAAAACATGGTATAATTATGTAAAAAATCTTCCATAATAATTCTGATACTGGTATATTTTTAATAATATTGTCTGTGTATCAAATAAATTTTTACATACGTATGTCAATTTTTACTATGTTAAAAATTTTTTACTACGTCTGTTGTAATGTGTAAAAAAATGTGTAAAAAAATTTAAATGATTGTGAGTATTATGGAAGTTTGTTTGTTGGAAGGTATGGTTGTTTAATTTTAGATGTATATTAATACAAAATGCACAATTTTATGTTTAAATACAGGTTATTGGATGAGGAAGGTTTGCCCTCCCAATCCCTATTTTGAAAGCAAAAAAGCATTTTTTGTAATTTACATAACGTGGAAATGTAAGTGTATTTTATGATTTAGTTTGTTTCTATGGTATAACATGGTCANGATCGCGACGCTTCTGCTTCTGATGTTGCCGAATGTTTTTCCCTTATTCCATACTTGCTTTATTCTTCATAAGTGCTTAGCACCATATAAGGAAATTTATAAACACCTTTTAACTAGAAGCGAGCAATCTAAAATTACATACATTTTGCAAAAGGTAAAGCATGGATCTGAAGATAATGCAGAAAAATGCTCAGAGAATAATGATAACTTGCCAAAAATAAAACGCTCTCGGTTAATTAATAGTGTTTTTAGTGATGACAAAGAAAACATTGTTTAATTTATACTAATATGTATCACTTTAAAAATTTTAATGAAGATATTTATCTTAATAATGAAAATATACTAGCATGTTTTTTAATTTTTGGAACCTAACCCTCTTTTTCATATTAGTTCTTTGTTTTGTATAACACGGATTCACATAACACGGCAATTTTTTGGAACGTAACTACCGTGTTATACGGGGGTTACCTGTATATCTTATTTCATTCAATTGCTAAATGGCATCTAATTAAAATTTATGGAAATATCTTAGATTATTATTTAGCAAATAAATTTTAAAGATTCCTCAATTTAATTCAAGACTATCAAACTTATAATTTGGCAATCATACAGCATAAAGATAAGCTTCATTTTCAAAATTTTTGTTTGAGAATGGCTTTCTCCTTTCTAAATTTTTTCATATCATTGGAAATGTCTTATGGAAATGGATTTCAACCCCCTAACAATAATTATCCCACAATGTATAGCAAAAGAGAAGTAATTTCACCTCAAAACAGAAGTACTGTACAGTAGAGCATCAATTATCTGAAGCAATTTGGGACTGAGGTTGTTCGGATAACTGATCATGTATGAAAAAATATATTAATCTATTCCCTGTTGAAATTTTTCTCTGTTGCATGTCACTTCACATTGGATTTTTGTTGATGTTAAGCCTAACAAAAATTTTTTAAAATAATAATCGTGGCTATTGTATTGTTAAAAATTATTTCTTTATTTTGCACAAACAAATTAATATATTGAAAAATATAAAAACTAAGAAGGAAAAAAAAATTATATTTCGGAAGTTAATCTAATATCAAAAACGTTCTGATTCAGCACAACACACATCCTGACACACAGTCCTCAGAAAAACATCACACAAAAACAAGCAAAACTCTTTCTTTTTCTTGGGTTTATCTGGAGATGTCAGCCGCTTGGGCTATATTCTCCAACGAGCTGAAGCAAACAACACAACTCCATGATGCAAAGTCCTAGAATATAGCTCACAATGGGAAAAAAAAGCCTCATTCAAGTCATGATGCGTCCTTAAGTACCCTCTCGATGTGTATGAACTGAAGCATTTTGATACTAGATTAACTTCCGAAATATAATTTTTTTTGTTTTTATATTTTTATGAAGAAATAAAGTAATGAAGAACAATGTTACAAAATGATAACTTTTTTAATTAACTAATCAAAAAGGAATTTATTATTTAGCACATATATAAACTGAAATTTTTCTTTTGCCTAAGTAAAGACATGAGAGAAATCAGTTAGTTACATAAGTTTTATAGAGCTGCATTAATTAAATCCCTCTCCAATCAGAAACACCATGCCCTGCAATATTTTTCTTTGTGAAGTCTGAAATGTAAGAAGAATCATTGTTTATATCATATGTATTTAGATTTGTCTGATGTTGTCATTAGTTATCATTATTGCAAATAACACATCACTCAATAAGTCTCCAGTCTAACTAAGAAAAACAATTTTTTTTAGAAATTTGACTTTATTCATCAACATACACTCCTTCAAGAGAGATATATTCATTCCAATACTCCTTTAACTTTCAATGACTTTTTTGTAGAACGATTTGTCTTTGCTCTCAAAATAGGCCTCAGTTTTGGCAATCACTTCTTCATTTGAGCCAAATTTCTTTCTCTGTAGCATCCTGTAGTAGTCACTGGGGGCCAGATCTGGAGAGTACGGTGGGTGAGGAAGCAATTCAAAACATAATTTATTTAATTTAACCATTGTTTTCATTGACTTGTGACACAGGGCATTGTCTTTGTGGAACAGCACTTTTTTCTTTTGCATGTGAGGGCATTTTTTCTTGATTTCTACACTCAACCAATCCAATAGTGCCATGTAATATTTGCTATTGATAGTTTTACCTTTCTCAAGATAGTCGAACAAAATACCATGAGCATCCCAAAATACCGATGCCATAACCTTTCCAGATGACTTTTGAGTTTTTGGTCACTTTGGATGACTTTCACTGGCTGCTGTCCACTCAGCTGACAATCTTTTTGATTCAGGTGTATAGTAATGGATCCATGTTTCATCCATTGTCACATACCGACACAAGAAATCCTTTTTATCTCACTTAAACAGCTCCAAGCAGTGCTCTGAATCGTTGACGCATTGTTGTTTTTGGTCCATTGTGAGCAAACGTGGCACCCACTTCAAAAGCAACTTATATGTGCTCAAATTTTCGTGTAAAATTGTAAACACACTATCTTCTGATATCTTTAAGGTGTCAGCTATCTCACAAACTTCACTTTACGCTCTTTCAAAACTATTTTGTGGACTTCTTTTTTTTGTTTTCTGGAATAACTGCTGATTTTGAGTGACCAGAGCATTTAGCATCATTGATGTTTGTACGACTGCATTTAAATTCAGCATACCAGTCAATAATACTTGATTTCCCTGGTGCAGAGTCTCCATAATTCTTATCAAGCCACTGTTTGGCTTCAACAGTATTTTTCTCCATCAAAAAACAATGTTTAATCAACACACAAAATTCTTCTTTATCCATTGTTTTGAAAATTACAAAACTGGGGTCACTAAAAACACTGTAACCTGTAAAATAATTGTCAGAATGTCATGAAATTATGGCATGTATTTTTTGAAGGTTGGCACTATCCAGAAATCATATGGGTCTGTAAACAGTGTTGCCTTATATGTGTCAGACAAGAGGCTTATTGAGTGATGTGTTAGTACATTCAGTAATAATGGTTAATTATTTAAAAACTAAAATTTGGCAGCTATTACATAATGCACACAACACTTATTTTTTTATAAAAATGAAATTTTTCTTTTGCTTATGTACTAAATAAGCTTTCTTTTGATGAGTAAAGAAAAACAAATCATCATTTTATAACATCAGTCTCAATTACTCCCTTTGATAATTTCAACATCTTTTCAACATTTGACAATTTCTTATTATAATTAATAAATAAATAAGTTTGCAAAACCAGTAATGTTGGAATCATTCTTTGTTTTGTTAATAATATATCTATTTTCCATTTTAATAATATACACATGTTCATCCTTAATATACTTTAAAACAATGAACAATTCTACATATTAAGAAAATTTAATAAATTACTTAAGTTGTAATAAGTTTTGTTATAACATAATTTGTTATGGCAAAGTTGATTAACATAATATCTAATGAGAGTGTATTTGATATGAAATTTTATAGGACAGCCTAACAAAAATTTTTTAAAATAATAATCGTGGCTATTGTATTGTTAAAAATTATTTCTTTATTTTGCACAAACAAATTAATATATTGAAAAATATAAAAACTAAGAAGGAAAAGAAAATTATATTTCGGAAGTTAATCTAGTATCAAAAACGTTCTGATTTAGCACAACACACATCCCGACACACAGTCCTCAGAAAAATACAAAATATTTTTTCTTGATTTGAGTTTTAAAAAAAAAAGTTGATTTTTAATCATATTTTGCTAATCTATGTTTAATACCCTGTGAACACACTTGATCAAAATAAGAATCCATAACATCCATGTAAATAAAAGAAATTAGCACACACACATATATAAATTTTTTTTAAATCCAAAGGATTCACCATTAGATCCAATACAAAATTTGTATGTTTTATTTCAAATTTTATATACAGAAACTAACATTAAATCTTTTAGGTTCAAAATAAATTCTACATCAAAATATTTTTTCTTGATTTGAGTTTATTTTGATACAGCATACAAATTAAATAATCATAATAAATAATTTAAAATTTGTACTTACTTGAATTAATTGGCTTTCATTTTCTAACTTTGTATTATCTAATAAAGTTGAATAATATTGAACTTGATTATAATACATTTCAACTTGGGTCTGTGCATCTTCTAATTTCTGTGATTCTAATTCTAATTGTGATTGATAATGCCTCATCATTGATTCATGCTCTTGCTTAACTCTTTCCAATGCCTCTTCAATTGCTTGATCCTATTTAAAAGTATATTATAATGTTACAAATGTAAATCCATCTCTGTAATCCAAAAAACACACTTTGGTAGACGTATCTCACAGCAATTGAAGGTATAAAAAAAACAATTAACCAAATTAATTTAAAAAAGTTATATAAATAATAATATAAGCAATATAGAAAAAAATCATATTCTTGACTTCAAAAATAATAGAATCCCTACTCTTAATATTAGATTAAAAACTCATAAAGAAGAAGAAAAATTTAGACCCTTAGTAGATTTCAACCCCAATTCTCCATTCTTTATAATTTAGAACATTACATAAAACAACAATTAAAATGTTTAGAAAATTCTGTCTATAGTATTAAAAATGCTGATACTGTTATTAATATAATACAAAAATTGAAAAAAGATAATTCTGATAAATTAATTAGTTTAGATATAAAAAATATGTATCCCAGCATAAATTGGAAATTAATAGAAAAATGTTTAAGTGATCTTAATGTACATAATAATTTGAAAAAATTAATACAATTTGCATATAATAATTATTATTTTGAAGTTAACGAAGTGTTTTATAGACGGATGGTATTAGCATGGGGTCAAAGATGGGGCCAAAATTAGCTGAATTAGTTATGATTAATATTGATAAAAAAATAAGTGAAATACATGGCATAAAATTAATAATGAGATACGTACATGATTATTTGATCGTATATAATAGTAATTTAACTAATAAAGAAACTATCCATAATTTTATAAATAACATAAATAAGGACATTCAGTTTGATATTGAAGAAGTAGTAAATAAAAAAATTAATTACCTCGATATAACTATATTAAATAATCCTGATAAATTTGATTTTATAACATATAAAAAATCTTATAATGCTAATAAAACTATAAATTATCATTCTTATATCCCAGATTATATAAAAAAGAATTCTTATCTTATGGAATTAAAAAATATATATACACGTATAACTGATGATCATAATAAAAATATTAAACTTAAAGATTTAGAAATAAAATTTATAATGAATGATTACCCAAAGTTTATTCTTACTAAATGGAAAACATGCTACTTAAAAAACAGATATAATACGAAATTTAAGAATGAAAAAACATATAAAAAATTTCCATACATTCAGAATATTTTTGATTATTGTAGTAATAACCTTAAAAATTATAACATTTGTTTGGCCCCATCTTTGACCAATAAAATTTCACAGAATATATACAGATACATAAATATTACTAGTATTAATAAAATTGATAGCCTAAAAAAAGCTGGGGTTGTATACAGGTTAGAATGTGATTGTCTGAATCCATATATGTACATAGGTGAAACAGGGCGTATGCTAGATGTTAGAATAAAAGAACATGAAGCAGCCATCAGATTGAAGTACTATAACTCTCCGTGGTTTGATCATACAAACAACAATAATTGTAAAATTAACCGTAATAATATAAAAATTCTACATTTTGAAAAAGATATTTATAAAAGAAAATTTAAAGAGCATTTAGAAATAAGGAAACAAAAAAATAATTTAATAAATTCCTCTGATGGTATGCAAATTGATCATCGGTGGTATGAATTNTATATATATATATATATATCAAAATTATATCTTCTTCTTATAAGAATTATATTTAGTTTATTACAGTTGACCCCCTTATAACACGGTAGATACGTTCTGTTCTTTATGAAATTGTTGTTCTAAGAGTCCTTGAATACATAAGCCAATCACAGCTTGGCACGTATGCAGTTTATGGACTATGGCTGTTTGAAAGGTTTTTTCCATAAAATTAATCGATTCTAGACTAATTTGACTCAACATTTACAAAATATGTATAATTTTTTGGGAATAATCCATATAAACTATGCTATAAACAAAAAATCATAAGATTACTTGCCGAGTGTGCACTGTTTGACGACACCATTGTTTAAGCTTGTTTTCATCGTGGAGATTGTCATTGAATGGCGCTCGCGTGCTTCCTGATAAATTATTTTTTTTGCAAAAAATTCGCTTAACTTTGGAGACGTCATTAATACAAATATAATTTTTATGGACGTTAAATAATAAATGGTTTTTAGTATTTTAGCTGCTTGTTTAAACTCAACAGTTTGTACTGTACAATATCCGCTATTGGTCTAGATTCGACCAATCCTGTTGCAACACAAGTTGGCGATGACGTTTTACCGAATTATACGAGTTTTTTTAGCATGTTTGTACGAATACTGTCACAATTTTTTCGCCATGATATAGGAATACAAACTATAGGAACCCATGTTATGGGGGGTCAACTTTATTTTGTTAAATTTGTTTCCAATAGATAGAGCTATGTGTAAATTAGTGAATCAAATTTAGATAGAAATTAAGTGATTTACAAGAATTCAATTGATATTTTGGGATGGAATGTACAACATTATTTAAGCTATAAGTATTTAAATGTAACTGCTGAGTTTTGTAGCAATTGGTAAAATTGCGTAGGAGTATATAGCAAACAAACATTAATTAATTATTAAAAGTTTAGATAATTTGGTATGGTAGCAATTTAACTGTATTTTGTTTATAATAATAATAATATATATATTGATATATTATTTGTATTAAAGATTTTATTAAACTTAAATATTGTATTAATTTTTCAGATGTGATGGTTTTGAATGAAATTATAGATCAAGCTGCAGGACGTCAAAGTAGAGAAAGTGGCAGAGGTAACTACCATTATGGAAAAGCACAAATTATGTTTTTGAAATTGTTTGTTTCTCCTATTTCGAATGTTTTTGCACATTTTTTTCTACCTTCACTTATACTATTTTATTTATGCACCTCTAATATTAATGAAAATATAAAATGCATTCTTCGTTAGATAAAGGACATGTCATTCCATATAACAACACAAAGTCAACACATAATGAAATAGTTATAAATTTGATATATGTATAATAAATTTATTATAAACTTTATGATAAATGTTTTGCCTTCTTTTGTATTATCAAATGCATTACAATGTGTAGTAATAGCAATATTGAAATTTCACTTATAATACTATAAATGTTCAGTTTAGTAAGATATTTGTATTAATCAATTCTTTTCATGTACATCAACATTGTAAAAGTTGATGTATGACACATACTTGATAAATTTCTAATTATATTTATTAAAATTATTTGAATTTTTTAATATTAAATAAATTCTTTACAGCATTTTTTATAATTAATATATATTTATCTTTGTCAATAAAAATTGCTCTGTTAAAATTTTATGTTACAATTAAATTTAAAATTTTAAGAAATTAAAATATACATAATTTCAAAATTTTTAAGCTTTAAACAATGATTGAATATGTTTGACAAAAATGCTTTTATTGGAGTTAAATTCATATTTAAATAAATATACTTGTAAATGCTTTTAAGCATTCTTGCTTATTGTTTAGACAAATTTTATAATGTAAAAAAATATAATTATACAGAAACGAAAAGAAAATAATCATAATTAAATATTATTTTGTTCATTATTTTAATTTGTAAAGTTTGCCATTTAAAAAGAAGCAAGAATATTGAGTGGCATACTTATTTAAATAAGGGAGACCAGAAATTACCTTTTTCACATCTGATGTAAACTGGTATTCTGATTTACTTTGGTGTTAACTAGTATCCAAATTTCTAAGATAATTAATGCTATATTTCAATGCTGTTTTATGATAGATAATTTTTATGGTTGCCCTACTGATAAACATTAGAAGTAATATATATATTAGTATATATATATTATTTCCTGAGTATGTTTTGATTCCAACTTTTTTCATAACTTATATTTACCAGAAAACATGCAACATTTAAACAAATATGAGTTCTTTTAAATAAATTAATTAACACGACTGTGTGAATATTTTTAAAAATATTTTTACACATCTACAGTAAGTTTTAAACCAATGTATTCACACAGATGGATGAAAACTTTTTGTTTTACTCAAAATTAATAAAAATTATTTTTAAAGGACATAAAAAAAGAAGTCAAGTGAGACTAATACTGTATATACCAAATAAAATCAGATGCAAATGTTTTGCTCAAAGCTGGAATTTATCCTAACATTTGGCCTAGTATGGGTCTATAAACTAAGCTGAAAATGTTTGTTTATAATAAAGTATTGATAGAAGATGTAAGGAAGGTGTGATATTGATTAATGTCAGAATCAAATATATAAATAATATATTCCAAAATCTCAAACACTTCCAGTTCCAAGCATTTCAGATAAATGATTCTCAATCTTTATTAGCAAAAAAAAATATATTTGATTAAATGATGAACGAATAAATAAATGCTGTCAAGTTTGTTACTCTTATGGCTTTATTCACCAACAAAGAATTGGTAGTTAAAGTTAAAGTGAATCATTTAGCATTTATTTTACTTTAAATAAGTGAGCTGTACTTTGTTAACTTCAAGTTTGACTATTAACTTTTTGTGGTGAATACATCCATTAGTAACTTTACCCAATGGTACTAAGGTTACCTTATCTGCTTATATAGATGAGCTTTACCTTACCTATTCAAAGTAAATATTTCACAGTCCAATACAATTAACATGTACAGTACAACTCCTGACCCCACTAAATATTGCCTGCAGAAAAATAAAATATTGTTCACAGTACTGGCAATTAGCTATGAAAATGAATTTCTTCTGTATAAGAAGGATTATGATATTACAATACATAATTAATTTGTCATTATAACTTAAATTGGAATTCTGACTTCCCCAAGATTAGCAGCATGTTTGTCTCTCTTATTTAAAGTGCCATGTTGTCAATATGCAAAAACACATTATTCAAAATTTATAGGAATACATTTATTAACAAAAAATTAAAGACTGTTTGTCCAAAAGGGGCCACCATTTATTTATTGTGTTACAGACTTCACATTCACGGTGACAGACCTTCCTTTATAGGCTACTTGTTTAATAATAATAATCTCCATTGGATGAAAAATTTACAAAATAAAAAATTGGAATGTATCGTCACCAGGGGAAAGTTTCTGAAATCTGCATTTTTCCAGTGCTTGTTCCAGTAGATAAAAGCAGAAACACCCCATAGGATGAATGGAAAGCAAGACATCTGTATAACACCAGTTCCTTTTTTAAAAAGATTTTTTAATTGGATGTAATTGTGTTTTTAAAGGACTGTTTTTTTAAATTCTGGCGGCATGTAGCCTATAAAGGAAGGTCTGTCGCCGTGAATGTGAAGTCTGGAACACAAAAAATAAATGGTGGCCCCTTTTTGGGCAGAGTGTCTTTTGTTTAATAATTAAAATCAATGTAAAAATAAACACAAATTAATTTTAAAACATTAGTTTTCAAATTCTATTTATTAAATACTTAGATTCCAGTGTTTACTAGCATTGAAGAAACACAAACTGCTTTCTGCAGGAATAATAGTGATACAGACATATTTGCAAATTTTGGCTAATATTTACTGCAATACTTTATTAATATTAATAAAATACAGTAATAAAACATTAATTCAACTGAATTCAAAGTGCTTTTGAAACTGATTTGGTATCTGATATTTAAAACCAGTTTTTTTGAAAACTGGTAAGAAGGTTTCAAGAATTTCCTGTTTTTGCCAGCACTTGTTTAGACCAGTGGTATTCAAAATTTTAACATCTATTGTCTAGGGCCTGACTATTACTTTTGTGGAATTCTAAGTAAAAAGTTTAAAGAAATAAAGAATGTGTAAAAAAGACTTCAATGCTGTTTCCAGATCAATGCTTTCAAACTTTACCATGTCAAGACTCCTTAAATCTAATTAACAAATTTCAAAGTCCCATAAATTTATATTTTGATTTATAACAAATTTATTATATATATTAACTATATTAATAATTTTATTAATATGTATTATATTCATAAAAAATACAAATTAATTAACATTCATAGTTTTAACAAAACTGTTTATAACTAGCATATGTATATTCATTTATACATTTATTCTTTTTGTTTGTTAAGGAAATCAAACATTCTTTAAAACTTTTAATCACACACATTTTTGGTTCATATGAGCCAACCTCAGGCAAAAAGCCATTAAAAACTTTTAGAATATGAAAGAGAACATATATAAATACAAAGTGAATGTGCAAATAGAACAAATATTTAAAAGAAACAGACCATTATAAATAAAAAGAACAGACTGTTGTAAATTTTACAAACAAATTGCAATAGAACAATTTATCATCTCCAAAGCTCTAACACAAATATAAATATCCATACACTGCCTTCAGTTTATTAGAAAATCAAGTGAGGTCAAACATATCTAACACTGACTTCCAACAATCATTAAGCTGTTGTATCATTTGTGCTAATCACCTCTAGATAGCAAATTTAGGTGCCAGAGTAGATTTACATTTGTTGTCCAGATAACATATTTTTAAAAACTTCTATTTTTTAATATCTTTATTAAAAATAATGAGAATATACTTTTATTATAAATACCTAAGAAACCTTGAAAGTTGCTTGCAAAATACTAATGTTTCACAAACACAGTTTAAATAGCACTGGTTTAGGCCAAACAAATTTACAACTAATCTTACCTTTGTCTTAAGAATAACATCAGAGAACTATTGAGAATTCAATGTGAATCTATATACAATATTCATAAATTTTTAAAAGCACCTTTAATCAAGTTCAGAAAAATAAGAATAACAGAAAATTTAATCTACTTAGTTAAAAATATGTATAAAAATGTCAAAATTGTGATAAATATGGAATGACAAGATAAAAATAAGTTGAAAGTATGCTATCATTACAATGAATTTAGTACCTTAAGAATAACATCAGAGAACTATTGAGAATTCAATGTGAATCTATATACAATATTCATAAATTTTTAAAAACACCTTTAATCAAGTTCAGAAAAATAAGAATAACAGAAAATTTAATCTACTTAGTTAAAAATATGTATAAAAATGTCAAAATTGTGACAGGAATAAATATGGAATGACAAGATAAAAATAAGTTGAAAGTATGCTATCATTACAATGAATTTAGTACCTGAAGACAGTTGTGGAAGAAGATAAAACAGCCAATAATATGATCTTTGTTGATAATATTGTAATTTGAAAACTAAAGAAAAATGAGTTAGAAAAAACTTTACAAATGTAGTAAGGGATGATCAAAATTTTGATTTAAATTTGAATGAAACAAAAACAAAATGTATGCAACTTTCCAGAAATAAAGAATAAAATCAATTCTTGATTTGAAATATTTCAGGTACTTCCATTTTCAGTTTTTGTTTTGTTTTCATATCAGGATTATCAAATTTAGATGGTATGGAGACACAAAGGGAGAGTGAAAAAAACAAAAACAATAATTAGAATTAATAATAATTACATAAATTAAGAAATATTTTTTTACCACATAGAAATAGGAGATCAAAAGGTCAAATGGGGAAAAGATGACAAAACCCACATACATACTATTTCATCCAATTGTGAAACCAATAAAGTCAATCAGATGATCATACAAGGTAACAATTATTACTAAGGTTGCAAGACAAACTCTGACCTTAGTCACCTCCAGCAATTAATTCAGTTTGTTTGACAGCTGTTATCAAATTTATGAGGTAGAATGAATAATCATAACAGATAGAAAGAGGTAATAAATTGAAAGAAATGTTCGATTTCAGACAATTAACATAAACAAAACCCAGGACACAAATCGAACTTAGAATGGGTTGCATCATACATAGCATTAGTCAGCTCTCCCAAAAATGGGTATAAAAAGGGCTTTGACACAGTCCTTGGGGCAGACATCAACAGGGGACACCAGACCCATACCACCATTCTGTCCGTCACCACCCTTGCCTTCCTGCCATAATCACCATCTCTCTCCCAAGATGATCCTGACCTGAATGAAAGGAAGACCAGGAGCATTTCACTAATGTTCTATACAATGAGATTGGGAACCAAGTGGTATTATACGTAGAATTGTAAACTCTCTCTCTCTCTTGGTTATAAGCTAGATTAAGGTTAATTTAACTTAAAAGACTTTTGGAACTGCTAAAAGTCCAGAACCTAGACAGTCTATCGACAAGAACGAAGTAATCATTGTTGCAACCTAGAATTTTGTTACTATTTCTATCTTTTGTATCTATTTGCTTTTGCAGTCACTGTGTATAATTTTATAGTTTATTAAATATGTTAATCTTATGTTTAATTCTGTGTCATCCTTGAGTACAGCCAACACCTTGTCACAACCTTGCTAACCCTCCATTTCATTTACCACATAGGTCATCCCCTGACAGAAAAGCTGATAAGAAGGTAGAGTTTGCCCCCTCGTTTCTCACACTTATGTGTTATAATCTAATTCTTCTAATAATTAATCAATACTAAATTAATTTTAAAACTTGCTTTTAATCATGTAAAATCACAATATCATATAAAAAATGGTTTAGGATAAAAAAGAAACTTTTACCTTTTCACTTGTAATTTGTTTTTGAATTTTTTCTAATGAGCTGTTCAACTGCATTGTAATATTAGCAGTTTCTTCAATGAAGATTTCTTTTCCTTGTATTATTTGATCTCTTAATTGAAGAATATCCAATTTTAACTGGTTACTAATTTCCCACGCTATACTTTGTAATGAAGTCATTGTATCTTGAACTCTCTCCAAGTGAGATTTATTCATATCTAAATCTCTCTGAAAAATAATAATCCATATAATTAAATCTCAAACTATTTATTGTGATTAAAATAANCTTTGTTGCATGTCACTTCACATTGGATTTTTGTTGATGTTAAGCCTAACAAAAATTTTTTAAAATAATAATCGTGGCTATTGTATTGTTAAAAATTATTTCTTTATTTTGCACAAACAAATTAATATATTGAAAAATATAAAAACTAAGAAGGAAAAAAAAATTATATTTCGGAAGTTAATCTAATATCAAAAACGTTCTGATTCAGCACAACACACATCCTGACACACAGTCCTCAGAAAAACACCACACAAAAACAAGCAAAACTCTTTCTTTTTCTTGGGTTTATCTGGAGATGTCAGCCGCTTGGGCTATATTCTCCAACGAGCTGAAGCAAACAACACAACTCCATGATGCAAAGTCCTAGAATATAGCTCACAATGGGAAAAAAAAGCCTCATTCAAGTCATGATGCGTCCTTAAGTACCCTCTCGATGTGTATGAACTGAAGCATTTTGATACTAGATTAACTTCCGAAATATAATTTTTTTTGTTTTTATATTTTTATGAAGAAATAAAGTAATGAAGAACAATGTTACAAAATGATAACTTTTTTAATTAACTAATCAAAAAGGAATTTATTATTTAGCACATATATAAACTGAAATTTTTCTTTTGCCTAAGTAAAGACATGAGAGAAATCAGTTAGTTACATAAGTTTTATAGAGCTGCATTAATTAAATCCCTCTCCAATCAGAAACACCATGCCCTGCAATATTTTTCTTTGTGAAGTCTGAAATGTAAGAAGAATCATTGTTTATATCATATGTATTTAGATTTGTCTGATGTTGTCATTAGTTATCATTATTGCAAATAACACATCACTCAATAAGTCTCCAGTCTAACTAAGAAAAACAATTTTTTTTAGAAATTTGACTTTATTCATCAACATACACTCCTTCAAGAGAGATATATTCATTCCAATACTCCTTTAACTTTCAATGACTTTTTTGTAGAACGATTTGTCTTTGCTCTCAAAATAGGCCTCAGTTTTGGCAATCACTTCTTCATTTGAGCCAAATTTCTTTCTCTGTAGCATCCTGTAGTAGTCGCTGGGGGCCAGATCTGGAGAGTACGGTGGGTGAGGAAGCAATTCAAAACATAATTTATTTAATTTAACCATTGTTTTCATTGACTTGTGACACAGGGCATTGTCTTTGTGGAACAGCACTTTTTTCTTTTGCATGTGAGGGCATTTTTTCTTGATTTCTACACTCAACCAATCCAATAGTGCCATGTAATATTTGCTATTGATAGTTTTACCTTTCTCAAGATAGTCGAACAAAATACCATGAGCATCCCAAAATACAGATGCCATAACCTTTCCAGATGACTTTTGAGTTTTTGGTCACTTTGGATGACTTTCACTGGCTGCTGTCCACTCAGCTGACAATCTTTTTGATTCAGGTGTATAGTAATGGATCCATGTTTCATCCATTGTCACATACCGACACAAGAAATCCTTTTTATCTCACTTAAACAGCTCCAAGCAGTGCTCTGAATCGTTGACGCATTGTTGTTTTTGGTCCATTGTGAGCAAACGTGGCACCCACTTCAAAAGCAACTTATATGTGCTCAAATTTTCGTGTAAAATTGTAAACACACTATCTTCTGATATCTTTAAGGTGTCAGCTATCTCACAAACTTCACTTTACGCTCTTTCAAAACTATTTTGTGGACTTCTTTTTTTTGTTTTCTGGAATAACTGCTGATTTTGAGTGACCAGAGCATTTAGCATCATTGATGTTTGTACGACTGCATTTAAATTCAGCATACCAGTCAATAATACTTGATTTCCCTGGTGCAGAGTCTCCATAATTCTTATCAAGCCACTGTTTGGCTTCAACAGTATTTTTCTCCATCAAAAAACAATGTTTAATCAACACACAAAATTCTTCTTTATCCATTGTTTTGAAAATTACAAAACTGGGGTCACTAAAAACACTGTAACCTGTAAAATAATTGTCAGAATGTCATGAAATTATGGCATGTATTTTTTGAAGGTTGGCACTATCCAGAAATCATATGGGTCTGTAAACAGTGTTGCCTTATATGTGTCAGACAAGAGGCTTATTGAGTGATGTGTTAGTACATTCAGTAATAATGGTTAATTATTTAAAAACTAAAATTTGGCAGCTATTACATAATGCACACAACACTTATTTTTTTATAAAAATGAAATTTTTCTTTTGCTTATGTACTAAATAAGCTTTCTTTTGATGAGTAAAGAAAAACAAATCATCATTTTATAACATCAGTCTCAATTACTCCCTTTGATAATTTCAACATCTTTTCAACATTTGACAATTTCTTATTATAATTAATAAATAAATAAGTTTGCAAAACCAGTAATGTTGGAATCATTCTTTGTTTTGTTAATAATATATCTATTTTCCATTTTAATAATATACACATGTTCATCCTTAATATACTTTAAAACAATGAACAATTCTACATATTAAGAAAATTTAATAAATTACTTAAGTTGTAATAAGTTTTGTTATAACATAATTTGTTATGGCAAAGTTGATTAACATAATATCTAATGAGAGTGTATTTGATATGAAATTTTATAGGACAGCCTAACAAAAATTTTTAAAAATAATAATCGTGGCTATTGTATTGTTAAAAATTATTTCTTTATTTTGCACAAACAAATTAATATATTGAAAAATATAAAAACTAAGAAGGAAAAGAAAATTATATTTCGGAAGTTAATCTAGTATCAAAAACGTTCTGATTTAGCACAACACACATCCCGACACACAGTCCTCAGAAAAATACAAAATATTTTTTCTTGATTTGAGTTTTAAAAAAAAAAGTTGATTTTTAATCATATTTTGCTAATCTATGTTTAATACCCTGTGAACACACTTGATCAAAATAAGAATCCATAACATCCATGTAAATAAAAGAAATTAGCACACACACATATATAAATTTTTTTTAAATCCAAAGGATTCACCATTAGATCCAATACAAAATTTGTATGTTTTATTTCAAATTTTATATACAGAAACTAACATTAAATCTTTTAGGTTCAAAATAAATTCTACATCAAAATATTTTTTCTTGATTTGAGTTTATTTTGATACAGCATACAAATTAAATAATCATAATAAATAATTTAAAATTTGTACTTACTTGAATTAATTGGCTTTCATTTTCTAACTTTGTATTATCTAATAAAGTTGAATAATATTGAACTTGATTATAATACATTTCAACTTGGGTCTGTGCATCTTCTAATTTCTGTGATTCTAATTCTAATTGTGATTGATAATGCCTCATCATTGATTCATGCTCTTGCTTAACTCTTTCCAATGCCTCTTCAATTGCTTGATCCTATTTAAAAGTATATTATAATGTTACAAATGTAAATCCATCTCTGTAATCCAAAAAACACACTTTGGTAGACGTATCTCACAGCAATTGAAGGTATAAAAAAAACAATTAACCAAATTAATTTAAAAAAGTTATATAAATAATAATATAAGCAATATAGAAAAAAATCATATTCTTGACTTCAAAAATAATAGAATCCCTACTCTTAATATTAGATTAAAAACTCATAAAGAAGAAGAAAAATTTAGACCCTTAGTAGATTTCAACCCCAATTCTCCATTCTTTATAATTTAGAACATTACATAAAACAACAATTAAAATGTTTAGAAAATTCTGTCTATAGTATTAAAAATGCTGATACTGTTATTAATATAATACAAAAATTGAAAAAAGATAATTCTGATAAATTAATTAGTTTAGATATAAAAAATATGTATCCCAGCATAAATTGGAAATTAATAGAAAAATGTTTAAGTGATCTTAATGTACATAATAATTTGAAAAAATTAATACAATTTGCATATAATAATTATTATTTTGAAGTTAACGAAGTGTTTTATAGACGGATGGTATTAGCATGGGGTCAAAGATGGGGCCAAAATTAGCTGAATTAGTTATGATTAATATTGATAAAAAAATAAGTGAAATACATGGCATAAAATTAATAATGAGATACGTACATGATTATTTGATCGTATATAATAGTAATTTAACTAATAAAGAAACTATCCATAATTTTATAAATAACATAAATAAGGACATTCAGTTTGATATTGAAGAAGTAGTAAATAAAAAAATTAATTACCTCGATATAACTATATTAAATAATCCTGATAAATTTGATTTTATAACATATAAAAAATCTTATAATGCTAATAAAACTATAAATTATCATTCTTATATCCCAGATTATATAAAAAAGAATTCTTATCTTATGGAATTAAAAAATATATATACACGTATAACTGATGATCATAATAAAAATATTAAACTTAAAGATTTAGAAATAAAATTTATAATGAATGATTACCCAAAGTTTATTCTTACTAAATGGAAAACATGCTACTTAAAAAACAGATATAATACGAAATTTAAGAATGAAAAAACATATAAAAAATTTCCATACATTCAGAATATTTTTGATTATTGTAGTAATAACCTTAAAAATTATAACATTTGTTTGGCCCCATCTTTGACCAATAAAATTTCACAGAATATATACAGATACATAAATATTACTAGTATTAATAAAATTGATAGCCTAAAAAAAGCTGGGGTTGTATACAGGTTAGAATGTGATTGTCTGAATCCATATATGTACATAGGTGAAACAGGGCGTATGCTAGATGTTAGAATAAAAGAACATGAAGCAGCCATCAGATTGAAGTACTATAACTCTCCGTGGTTTGATCATACAAACAACAATAATTGTAAAATTAACCGTAATAATATAAAAATTCTACATTTTGAAAAAGATATTTATAAAAGAAAATTTAAAGAGCATTTAGAAATAAGGAAACAAAAAAATAATTTAATAAATTCCTCTGATGGTATGCAAATTGATCATCGGTGGTATGAATTAATAGATAGCACGAAAATAGGCTAATAGTTGTTATTATGTTTAAACATGATATAAAAAATTTTTTTGGTAATAGTAAATTTCCATAATACTGGTTTAATGATATTGTTGTTTGTGTATTAATAGCTTTTACATACGTATGGATTTTTTGTTACTGTGTCATTGGTTTTTACTGTGTCTGTTATATACCCATGTGTAATTGAAAATTGTAAAAATGGAAAGAAAAATTCTAATTTTTATATAAAATACAAATGTTTGATTTTTAAATTTTTAAAATGTTTGTGTGTACCACTCCCCTTAACCCCACATCTGCAATGGTGAAAAATTCGGAGAACCAGTGGAAGAGATCACTTGGTCAGGGGATAGAGGTGTTAATGTCCCCACCTTGCAGAATAGACATCTGGAGAACAGACGTAATCCATCCGTCCTTAGTATTAATCTCTCCTTCAAGTTAAACTATGGCAGTCTTTATTTGTCTTTACATATGAACATGGCATGCATAGTATTTAAGTAAAAACAAAAACTGATGTTTGTAAAACGGTCTACCCTCCTACCCTATAGTTTGTGAAAATAGCAAAATAAGAAACAAATTTTGTTATGTACTTAATGAAAAAATGTAAGTGTTTTTGATGTTTTTTTGGTTTGTTTCATTTAATGTAATATAACATAGTCATGTTTTGACATTTTTGTTTATTTGAACTAGCACTGAAGAGGGGTTGGAGTATATTATACCAACCCGAAATATATTTGTAGTTCAATGAGTAATAAAAGTTAAATTTGCTAACCAGAAATTGCTGTGAGAAAAGTCTACCAAAGCGTGTGTTTTGGATTACAGAGACGAATTTACATTGTTATTTAANTGCATTTTGAAAAAAATCTTTATAAAAGAAAATTTAAAAAGCATTTAGAAATAAGGAAACAAAAAAATAATTTAATAAATAACTCAGATGGTATGCAAATTGATTACCGCTGGTACAAATTAATAGATGGCGCTAAAACAAGTTAAAACATGGTATAATTATGTAAAAAATCTTCCATAATAATTCTGATACTGGTATATTTTTAATAATATTGTCTGTGTATCAAATAAATTTTTACATACGTATGTCAATTTTTACTATGTTAAAAATTTTTTACTACGTCTGTTGTAATGTGTAAAAAAATGTGTAAAAAAATTTAAATGATTGTGAGTATTATGGAAGTTTGTTTGTTGGAAGGTATGGTTGTTTAATTTTAGATGTATATTAATACAAAATGCACAATTTTATGTTTAAATACAGGTTATTGGATGAGGAAGGTTTGCCCTCCCAATCCCTATTTTGAAAGCAAAAAAGCATTTTTTGTAATTTACATAATGTGGAAATGTAAGTGTATTTTATGATTTAGTTTGTTTCTATGGTATAACATGGTCATGTTTTAATATTTCTTGTTTATTTGAACTAGCACTGAGGAGGGGTTGGAGTACATTATACCAACCCGAAATATATTTGTAGTTCAATGGAAAATAAAAAATAATTTGCTAACCAGAAATTGCTGTGAGATACGTCTACCAAAGTGCGTTTTTTTGAATTATAGAGACGGATTTACATTTGTAATAAATATACCATACAGCAAGCCATTTATATATATAATTAATGTTTTGTTTCTTATTATTCAAAAAAATTTCAGTATAACATTACAATTTGTATATGATACTGATTTATCATTCTTGACTTTAAAAAAAATAATAATAAATAAAAATCATGCATTACTCATGTTCAAATTTTAAAATTAAAATCAATTTTTTTTTCTTGTGTAAATTTTTCATCCAATGGAGATTATTATTATTAAACAAAAGACAGTCTGCCCAGAAAGAGGCCACCATTTATTTTTTGTGTTCCAGACTTCACATTCACGGTGACAGACCTTCCTTTATAGGCTACTTGTTTAATAATAATAATCTCCATTGGATGAAAAATTTACAAAATAAAAAATTGGAATGTATCGTCACCAGGGGAAAGTTTCTGAAATCTGCATTTTTCCAGTGCTTGTTCCAGTAGATAAAAGCAGAAACACCCCATAGGATGAATGGAAAGCAAGACATCTGTATAACACCAGTTCCTTTTTTAAAAAGATTTTTTAATTGGATGTAATTGTGTTTTTAAAGGACTGTTTTTTTAAATTCTGGCGGCATGTAGCCTATAAAGGAAGGTCTGTCGCCGTGAATGTGAAGTCTGGAACACAAAAAATAAATGGTGGCCCCTATTTGGGCAGAGTGTCTTTTGTTTAATAATTAAAATCAATGTAAAAATAAACACAAATTAATTTTAAAACATTAGTTTTCAAATTCTATTTATTAAATACTTAGATTCCAGTGTTTACTAGCATTGAAGAAACACAAACTGCTTTCTGCAGGAATAATAGTGATACAGACATATTTGCAAATTTTGGCTAATATTTACTGCAATACTTTATTAATATTAATAAAATACAGTAATAAAACATTAATTCAACTGAATTCAAAGTGCTTTTGAAACTGATTTGGTATCTGATATTTAAAACCAGTTTTTTTGAAAACTGGTAAGAAGGTTTCAAGAATTTCCTGTTTTTGCCAGCACTTGTTTAGACCAGTGGTATTCAAAATTTTAACATCTATTGTCTAGGGCCTGACTATTACTTTTGTGGAATTCTAAGTAAAAAGTTTAAAGAAATAAAGAATGTGTAAAAAAGACTTCAATGCTGTTTCCAGATCAATGCTTTCAAACTTTACCATGTCAAGACTCCTTAAATCTAATTAACAAATTTCAAAGTCCCATAAATTTATATTTTGATTTATAACAAATTTATTATATATATTAACTATATTAATAATTTTATTAATATGTATTATATTCATAAAAAATACAAATTAATTAACATTCATAGTTTTAACAAAACTGTTTATAACTAGCATATGTATATTCATTTATACATTTATTCTTTTTGTTTGTTAAGGAAATCAAACATTCTTTAAAACTTTTAATCACACACATTTTTGGTTCATATGAGCCAACCTCAGGCAAAAAGCCATTAAAAACTTTTAGAATATGAAAGAGAACATATATAAATACAAAGTGAATGTGCAAATAGAACAAATATTTAAAAGAAACAGACCATTATAAATAAAAAGAACAGACTGTTGTAAATTTTACAAACAAATTGCAATAGAACAATTTATCATCTCCAAAGCTCTAACACAAATATAAATATCCATACACTGCCTTCAGTTTATTAGAAAATCAAGTGAGGTCAAACATATCTAACACTGACTTCCAACAATCATTAAGCTGTTGTATCATTTGTGCTAATCACCTCTAGATAGCAAATTTAGGTGCCAGAGTAGATTTACATTTGTTGTCCAGATAACATATTTTTAAAAACTTCTATTTTTTAATATCTTTATTAAAAATAATGAGAATATACTTTTATTATAAATACCTAAGAAACCTTGAAAGTTGCTTGCAAAATACTAATGTTTCACAAACACAGTTTAAATAGCACTGGTTTAGGCCAAACAAATTTACAACTAATCTTACCTTTGTCTTAAGAATAACATCAGAGAACTATTGAGAATTCAATGTGAATCTATATATAATATTCATAAATTTTTAAAAACACCTTTAATCAAGTTCAGAAAAATAAGAATAACAGAAAATTTAATCTACTTAGTTAAAAATATGTATAAAAATGTCAAAATTGTGACAGGAATAAATATGGAATGACAAGATAAAAATAAGTTGAAAGTATGCTATCATTACAATGAATTTAGTACCTGAAGACAGTTGTGGAAGAAGATAAAACAGCCAATAATATGATCTTTGTTGATAATATTGTAATTTGAAAACTAAAGAAAAATGAGTTAGAAAAAACTTTACAAATGTAGTAAGGGATGATCAAAATTTTGATTTAAATTTGAATGAAACAAAAACAAAATGTATGCAACTTTCCAGAAATAAAGAATAAAATCAATTCTTGATTTGAAATATTTCAGGTACTTCCATTTTCAGTTTTTGTTTTGTTTTCATATCAGGATTATCAAATTTAGATGGTATGGAGACACAAAGGGAGAGTGAAAAAAACAAAAACAATAATTAGAATTAATAATAATTACATAAATTAAGAAATATTTTTTTACCACATAGAAATAGGAGATCAAAAGGTCAAATGGGGAAAAGATGACAAAACCCACATACATACTATTTCATCCAATTGTGAAACCAATAAAGTCAATCAGATGATCATACAAGGTAACAATTATTACTAAGGTTGCAAGACAAACTCTGACCTTAGTCACCTCCAGCAATTAATTCAGTTTGTTTGACAGCTGTTATCAAATTTATGAGGTAGAATGAATAATCATAACAGATAGAAAGAGGTAATAAATTGAAAGAAATGTTCGATTTCAGACAATTAACATAAACAAAACCCAGGACACAAATCGAACTTAGAATGGGTTGCATCATACATAGCATTAGTCAGCTCTCCCAAAAATGGGTATAAAAAGGGCTTTGACACAGTCCTTGGGGCAGACATCAACAGGGGACACCAGACCCATACCACCATTCTGTCCGTCACCACCCTTGCCTTCCTGCCATAATCACCATCTCTCTCCCAAGATGATCCTGACCTGAATGAAAGGAAGACCAGGAGCATTTCACTAATGTTCTATACAATGAGATTGGGAACCAAGTGGTATTATACGTAGAATTGTAAACTCTCTCTCTCTCTTGGTTATAAGCTAGATTAAGGTTAATTTAACTTAAAAGACTTTTGGAACTGCTAAAAGTCCAGAACCTAGACAGTCTATCGACAAGAACGAAGTAATCATTGTTGCAACCTAGAATTTTGTTACTATTTCTATCTTTTGTATCTATTTGCTTTTGCAGTCACTGTGTATAATTTTATAGTTTATTAAATATGTTAATCTTATGTTTAATTCTGTGTCATCCTTGAGTACAGCCAACACCTTGTCACAACCTTGCTAACCCTCCATTTCATTTACCACATAGGTCATCCCCTGACAGAAAAGCTGATAAGAAGGTAGAGTTTGCCCCCTCGTTTCTCACACTTATGTGTTATAATCTAATTCTTCTAATAATTAATCAATACTAAATTAATTTTAAAACTTGCTTTTAATCATGTAAAATCACAATATCATATAAAAAATGGTTTAGGATAAAAAAGAAACTTTTACCTTTTCACTTGTAATTTGTTTTTGAATTTTTTCTAATGAGCTGTTCAACTGCATTGTAATATTAGCAGTTTCTTCAATGAAGATTTCTTTTCCTTGTATTATTTGATCTCTTAATTGAAGAATATCCAATTTTAACTGGTTACTAATTTCCCACGCTATACTTTGTAATGAAGTCATTGTATCTTGAACTCTCTCCAAGTGAGATTTATTCATATCTAAATCTCTCTGAAAAATAATAATCCATATAATTAAATCTCAAACTATTTATTGTGATTAAAATAACATATTTTACATTAATTAAATGAAATATTTAAAAAGTTTCTATAAATTTTTAAAATAAAGTTACATGGCTAAAATTATTAATAGAAGAAAGGTTCCATCTTGTTTTTGTTATTTTAAGAAAAATTTTAAATTATATAAAATATAGTTGACGTAATAGCTAATAAATCTAAAAAAAAAAAATTAAATACAGAATATAATTTCATAACTGCACAGAAACTGGTGATAAATAAAGAGAAAAATGTTTGAATATTGTGATTATATTATTAGAATCTTTTATTTAATGGATGTGTAAACATGTTCAGTACATGAATAAATGAGAGTATGAAATGAAATTTCACTTAGTATGCTTATTGTTTGAAAACACATTCTCATAATTGCACTGTCTTAATTGATCATAAAAATAATATTTTCTTCAATTTATCATAACAGGACTAGTTTCTTTAATATAATTTATAGATCCATAATTAAGACAAATACAGCATCATAATTAAATTAGATTTTGCTAATAATTAATTATCATTGTTCAGTTTTCAGTCATTTAATAAGTTAAGTAATTTTAATGTGATCATCCAGAAAAAGTTTGAAGTGAAATTCAATCTTAAATTTTTAAAAATAAAAGTATTATATTATTATATCTATTATGCTATTTAAATACTCCTCAAAATGTTTTTTCCGTACTATTCTTTCAAACACAATAATTCTTTCATATTCACATAATTCAATAGATTTTCTGAAGAAGAAAAACCAAGTTGATAAATAAGAAACTATAAAAAGGAAAATAAAGAACAATTTCTAGATGTAAGATTATTATATCATCTAACACTCGAACTAAACTTTTTACATTTGTCCATGTTGCTGGATCACTTACTGTAGACTATAAAATTTATAGTTAAAACGAAATCATATCTATTTTATTTACTAAAGTATTTATTTTATTAACAAAATGATTTAATTTATTATTATTATCCACTTATTAAGCATAGTGAAGTGAAGCTCTCTTAGCAATGACTGACATTCGTATGACAGTAAATTCCTCTAAAACCTCTTAACCATTTTAAATCATATTTTGCATACAAATAGAATCCACCTTAGTCTGTCATGATACAAATAGCATTTTAAAATTCAACATATAACCAGAGATACACAAAGTTTGCAATGTTAAGTCTATGGATGAGCAGAGCAAAACATCTGGCCCACATGGGCAAATCTAAACATTTATGCACACTTTTATATATGTGTAATTTTAACTTCAATCATTTTGTAACTTATTAAATAAATATATAAATCATTAAACTCGTATAAAAAATATATTCAAAATGTTGGTGTATTTATTCATCCATAATCTCGTGATTATTTTTTAAGTAGATAAATTTTCAAAATATTTTATTTTAGTTAAGCTTTTTTCATCTAACCCACATTGATAAGTATATCAAAAACTACAGACAATTAAAAATCAAAATATGTTTCAATGAAAATTTTTATTAACAAGTACTATACAGAATATTTCCAAAAATATTTCTAGAATACATATATTAAAAATATATACTAAAAAAATATAATCCTGAATCAATAATTTTCCAGAGGTTAAATAATAGCTAATACTTTAACCATGAAAGATAAAACTTTTAACTTAAATGCTGCAGAGTTCAAATTATAAAGATCAATTATGAAAAACAAAGAAAGAAAAATGCTTATTTTAAATTTGCAAATGAGCATTGTCAAATCATTATTTTTTCTTTCAACTACCATCTTTTGTAACAAGCATATCAACACATTGTTGAGAATATGACAGTAAGCTAGATGTTTGTCCAGAGAGGTACTTGTCAGATGTATAGTGCTGTAGCACCCCTTTCATATCAAAGCAGTTTTGTTACTTTAAAGTAAAAATAAATATAACAATACACATTACATATTTCAATGAGGTAACTAAAATAACTGAACTAAGTAGGTAACTAAATATTTCTAGTATTTTCAGAAAAAAAGGGGAACACATGCTTTGGTTCCCAAGTCTGTCTTCAGCAGCACCCTCATTCTCAAAATTCTGGATACACCACTGCAATAAGCATAATATATTAATTTCCTATCTGTATGGAAGTACATTAAACAAATGTCACATGTTGCTTTGCAGAATTCACAATTTCTTTTTATAATAATATAAAAAAAGACTAATTATTCTAAATTAAAAATTAAATTGAAGGGAAGTTAATTCCAATAAGCAATTATTTATTGTGACATCGACACAATGCCAGGCTGCAATTTTTAATCATATTATTTTATTTTATTTAAACTATATGCTCTTCACCTCAAATTAATAGTGGCTTGCCCCAGTATATCATATTTTTCCTTTAACAATATAGAGTCATGCTGGTCATCTATCTAACATCTTTCAGGAGAAAATTTTTGAATAGAAATAATATGACTTCCAGTTTGCATCAGAAGTTCATATACAGTTAATTGGAGCCTCCTACTCCTAAGGTTTCTATATCTGGTCTTGTCTTTCATCTAACTCTGTTCTTGAGATTAAGGAAAGACAGACAGGCAGACAACAGTGAAAATTTATAGATCTACAATTTTTTTCAAATTGAAACTCAGAGACTTTAAAACTGCATTAATATTTATCATCACAAAGAAAAAATAAATGGGCATGAGTGTATTTATGCATAATTGTTCGCAAAAAATATCTCTAATGTAAATTAGTTTTCTCTCTCTAATCTAATATATCTCTAATGTAAATTAGTTTTAGAAGCAATAATTATATTGAGAGATAAAAATAATCATTATTGAATTTGCTATCATTAATCTAGTTATATTTATATTTATTTATTTATTTATATATATATTCCAACTGCTGAATTTACAAACTTATTTAGAGATTACCAAACCAAAAGAGTTTTTGGACCTCTGTAGAAAGATGTGTGTATAACAATAAATATATATTTTCAAATTTATTATATTTAATTAACTTGATTATAATAAAAAATAAAATAATTGGAACAAAAAAAAAAATGGTTTAATTATCAATCAATCAATCAAACTTTATTTAGCAGTAGGAAATTTTCCCTGTTGCTAAATGTTTTAATTATTAGAGTATATGTAATATTTTATTTGTCTTAATTATGGAATCTGGCCAGTCAAAAATAATTTTTCATATTTTACTCTTAATTTCCTTGTTTTTAATGCATTAAAAATTACATACTTTTTGATGATTAAATATTGTATTATAATAGCAATATATTAAGAAAAAAAAACTAAAATTTCAATAAAAACATTTTATGAAAATCTGTTACTAAAACTGCTTTTTGTACATTTTTAATATTAAATTTATTTTGAAAATAAATATATGAAAATTTTTTAATATAATTATATCTAATGATTCAGAAATTTTTAAAATACATTATACCACTAGATTTAAAGAAATATAATATTGTTTAGACTTTACAATAAAATAAGATTTTCTTGTAAATCACATTAAAAATTTTAATTGCAGATAAACTGAAGAAACTATAATCTGATAATCTTATAATTATTAAATAGAATGTTATTAAAAATTTAAATAATTATTTAAAAAATGTTTAATACTACAATATAAAATCAAAATCAATGTAAACAAAAATAATTTTATATGTCACAAAAAGTTTGTCAATTACAAGGTAAAAACAAAAAACACTTTTATTAAAAACATGAAAAACAATAAAAACACAGTCACTTAAAATGCTATGTACTCATTATTGTAAGTTTCACTGTAAAAATAAACATTTCAAGAAACTTAAAAATAAACTTCAATATCTCAAATAAAACCATTTTAAATAATTTCGTAACATTTTCAGTTTAAAAAAAGTTTTGTCAATACACAATTATGTTACATTAAATTTGATCAAAATCAAATTTAACTATTTCTTAATATGTTAATAGTAGAAGATTAAATTATAATTCATTTTGATTTTTCTACATCTAAATTGTCATTAAAGAAACAGTATATACTCATATAAATTCTACAATTAAAACAAACATTATTTCAACTGTTATAGCTTACTCTTAGGAAAAATAAAAAACATACTGCATTAATAAAATATTTATACAGAAATAAAAATCATAATCAAATGTAAAATTAACAAAACAAATTTAATATAAATTGATTTTAACAATTTTGTAAAATCAACATAAAAACTTTAAAATACTCAATATAAATACAATCAATATTTTAGAACAATATTTAAAATTTTACTAAGGTTTGAAATTACTGTATATATTTTACTTAAAAATAATAATTTTTGTATATGAACAAATTTGAAACATTTTACGTACATATAGAAACAATTCTAATTATCATGACTTAAAATTCATTAACCATTAAATAAATATTTTTGTTAATAAACATAATAGTTATATTAAATATAGTTTCACAATACAATTTTTACCAAATTTATTGGTATTTATTTATATATCATTTAATATAAGAATTCAATGAGTTATAGCAGTAGAAATAAAATAATTACAGTACAATTTAATATGCATCTTTTTCAGGCCAAACAGAAGAAAATATCAAAATAGAAATATTTTAATAAGTAATTAATTTATTGTTATTATATGTTTATCATAATTATTTTGTAAATTATTTGATGCTATCTGTTTAAAACAGGTTATTAATGACAACGGTTACCTACTGTAAGTACTTGATCACATTTTAATTTCATTTTTGCTGTATGAAATATTTTTTCATATAATAAAAACAAAATTAAAATATGATAAATTATTTACAATAAGTTACTCATAAAATATCCCTCTAAATCAGTGATTCTCAAACTTTTTCGATCCACCGCCCCCTTTGTTCCATAAAGTTATACCCAACGCCCCTAACCCATTCTCTCTTGTGTGAGAAAAGGATTGGAAATATTCTTAGGAAAACTTTTCTATGAATCTCACACTTTGTGCCCTTACTGTAC